GTTAGACAGGTAGTGAGTACAAAAGAAAAACCTTCAAGGAAATTAAAAGTTCTGCTCAATGAACACACAGATGATAAGAAAGCAAAACACTGTAATTGCTGATATGGAGAAAGTTCTAGTGTCTGGATTAAAGATCAAACCAGCCACTACATTCCCTTCACCAGAGTCTAATCCAGAGCAAGGCCTTAACTTTCTACAATGCTATAAAAGCCAAGAGAGGTGAGGAAGCAGCAGAAGAAAATTATGAAGCTAGCAGAGGTGGGTTCATGAGGCTTAAGGAAAGGACCTCTCTAGAACATCCAAGTACAAGATGAAGCAGCAAGTGCCCATGGAGAAGGCACAGCAAGGTACTAAGGTTTAGCGAGGACCATTGATGATGGTGGCTACAGTAAAAAGCAGAATTTTCAGTACTAAACAGCCTTATATTGGAAGGAAAAGTCATTTATGACAAAGTAAGGCATCTTTTSATTGCTATAACAATATAGCTGGGGAAAAAAATCTAAACAAGGAAAGGTTTATTTTGGTTCATGGTTTCAGAGGTTTTGGTCCATGGTTGGCCAGCTCCTTTGATTTTAGTCATATAACAAGGCAGAAATATAAGGGTGGAGAAAAACTGTCACCTCATGACAGCCAGGAAAGAGAAAGAAACACAGGTAGTGGTGTCAAGATACAGTCCTCAAGTGACTCCAAGGACACACTCACTTCAGCTGGTCCCACCTGTACAGTTTCCACCAACACTCAATGGTCCATTCCCCTGAGAATCCATCAAGGGGTTAATCTATTGATGAGATCACAGAGCTCAAGATCCCATGAGTTCCCAGACTCCTCCCTGTAGACACTGCTGCACTGGGGACCAAGCCTTCAWACAGGAGTCTTTGGGGGACATTCTAGAACCAAATATTCACAAGGACTTCCATAGCTAGGCAGAGAAATGATTGGCTGATTTGAAGTCTCACAGAACAGGCTGACATGCTTGTTAGGGATTATTCAAAATCAAAAATCCTACAGAAGGGGTGAATTTGTTTACTAGAAATACTATGGGGACCTGGATGGTTGGGAGAAAGTCTAGAAGAAACTGAATTGCTCTACCCCAGAAAGGGAGCATTCACTGAGCTGAAGGATCCAGAAGGAAAGGACACCATGCACATCCTTGGGTAATCACAAGGGAAACAAGCATCAGTGAGACCTGTAGGTGCAGTGACTCAGTGGGCAGGAGGACAAGCAACAGCAGCCTCTGGGAGTGAAGCCAAGGGCATCTCAAGGACAGATGTGCCCAGAGCTGTTTGAAGATGCTGGGATCACTGCCTCAAAGAAACCTGCTGAGCTAAAGGCCATTAACCCAACTGTCCTCTGATTGAAGGACTCTTCCATTTACTTTTGCTTTTTCATCTGTTATTTGCTAGATATGGAGGAGGGGTTACATTGTATGTCAACAAAAGTATGTCCAGAGGAAAGTGAGGCCATGAGTATACCTCACCTGCTGCAATGTGCAGACGTTTTAGGAATGATTGGACTTTGACAGGGAAACTAATTGGGTTATACATCGGCAGTTTTTTGGAGAAACGGTTGTGAGCTGTTATAAAATCCAGTGCCCAGTCCTCTCTCAGACCAATAAGACTGATTCCTCCAGTGAGAACAGGTGGTTGTAGTGAGAGCCACACTCTCAGGAGACTGCACCATGCAGCCAACTGGAAACCATCATCACAGATAATCCTTACCTAGTTTCAAGGGAGCAGGAGAGCTCCTGTCCTCAGAATGACCCCTGAGAATTGCCGACTTGGCCTTGTGATCCTGTGACTTGATTCTGAAGTGACCCACTTGGAATCCCAAGACCAAGAGTAAAGGAACAGATATGAGTGACCATAAGAGAAATTGCTCCTTAATTAAGCTGCCATTTTGCTCACAGCTTCTCCATTTTAAATGTGATTGACCAATGAATTCAGTAGGGTATAGTGAGAAGGAACGGGTGGCCACATGTTTGTCTACACTTGCCTCATCTGTCCAGCATTGCCAGGTAGGGTGGACTTTTCTGTCTCTGCATCTAAGATTGAAGCCCTGGATTCATCCAAGGCCACTCTTGCCAACTGTTATGAGCCAGCTCCTGCATGTGAAGCACCCAAGCCTCTTAGAGCCTGTGAATGACAGCCACCAAGGCAGCTGCCAGAGAATCAGGGAACATGATGGGAACAGGGAACATCCTCAGTGATGGTTGACTACTGCAACAAGAGGGAGATGGTCACAATAACAACAACAACAAAAAAAAATCAGATATCCAGGAATAAATTTAGGAAAATACGAAAGGTACAAATACGAAACGTCTTTTTTACTCCACTGAAGGACATGATTAAAGTATGCCTAAGTGAAAAGCTAGAATATTAAATGTTGTCCAGATTTTTCCTAAATTGGAATATAAATATTGATCAGGACTCCTGGTTCAAAATACAACAGTTCTACTTTCAGAACCAAAAAAAAATACTTTCTTCTGGAAGAACAAATACATTCAGAAAACAAAATCTAGGAGAGAAAAACACAATTAAGAACATATCCTTATCCACATGGTGTGGTTGGAAAAAGAGAGAGAAGGCAAGGAAAGAAACAAAGAAGGAAAGGAACAGACACAGATGGGACCGAGATATATAAATGGAACAATGATGCCCTGTGAATCTACTGTGGGATCAAAATGATGGTTGACGGCTTTTTAGGAAATCACACAAAAAATTACATGGTTAAAGAATCATTTGAATGGGCTGTGGTTGTGGCTTAGTGGTAGTGTGCTTGCCTCACATGTTCGAGGCCCTGGGTTCAATACTCAGCACCATAAAAATAAATAAAATTAAGTTATTAAGTTATTGTGTCCTTCTACAACTAAAATATGTGTGTGTGTGTGTGTGTGTGTGTATTTAAAAGACTCATTTGGAAAAAAAATGAATTTAGACGATATGACAGTATATTGAACATTTTGACTGGATTGATATGCATTCACTGTTTTCGTGTAATAAACTATAACACATCACCACATTCTGTACGCTGAGTGTATACAAACAATAAGAAAGGTACTATCACTGCAACCACTCTACAGATGAGATAAGGGAGACCCAGCAACCGACCTAAATCACAGATCTGGTTAGAATTCACTCCCAGGAGTTCTGGCGCCAAGGATCTTGGGCAACACCACTTTAAACACATATACCCAGAGGCATGTCCCAGACCCTACTGCTGTGTAACAATGCACCCTAACACTTAGTGGAGTGCTAACCAAATGTCCAGGAACTCAGGATAAGGCCAGCTGGGCGGTTCCTGCTTGGAGTGTCCACATGGTTGCTGTCATATGTCAGCTGGTGCTGCAGTCATCTGGGAACTGAAGGAGGACTGGACATCCATAGTGACCCACTCACCTGTCAGCAGGTGATGCACGTCTTGGCAAGGAGCTTGGCTTGAGTTGTCACCTGGAGCACCTCCTAAGGTCTCTCAGGCATGGAAATCTTGGGATTCAGCTCCTCACAAGGAGCCAGGCTTCCCTTAGGGAGAGGGTCCAAGAGAACTCAGGAGAGAACATTCCTGACCCAAGCCTCAAGGTCACCCACCTCCCTTCCTGAGCAATTTTTGTTGATGTAATCACAAGCCTTGGCAGAGGTAAGGGGCAGGGACACGGAACCCACTCCTCCATGCCACCAGTGCCAAAGAGGCTCAGGGCCATGTTTTAAAATCTCCATAATATATTACCACACTAATGAAAACGGTCTAAAACTTATTGAGTATATACTCTAAGCCACACACTGTATTGAACCTATTTCTGGGGATTATATAAAATATACACTTAGAATATACATTTAAAATAAATGAATAATGTAAAACCAAGCATGCGGTGCATACAAGAGGTGGGCTTCCTCCCAGGACCACTGGTCACAGTCAACTCCAAGTCAGGGGTAAGAAGGATGTGGCTGAATGGCTAGATAGAAAATGAAGCACCATGGAAGGGGGCGTTTGCCTTGCTGGCTGGGCTCCCCCTTTCTACTCCAAAACTCCTGGAGTTCAAGCTTCACTGTCTTTCTGGGTCTCTGTTTATCATTTCACCTTCAGTGGTTATAGCAGTGATGGCAAGAAAGATTTCTAATGCAGTTCCTAGAAGGAATTTGAGAGCCCTATACCAGTGACTCGGATTGTAAGGGCTTCACCTTTTCCCCAGTGCAGAAAGGAGTGAAGCATATATCTTTTACTTCACCAGGATCTCCATTTTTGGTGATAACATATCCCTGTTCTATGCACCAGTAGTGACATCAAGGTGATATTAATGAAAAACATCCTCTTGCAAACAGAAGCAAGTCCACTGCATGTCAGTTCCTTTGTGTTTTCAATGCTAAATCCCTGAAGAAAGCTGAGCACAAGGAATGGTTTACAATCAAGTGCAAGGATAATGCAGGGAGTCCATCTGTGAACCCTACTGAGCACCAATCCCAGAGGCCCCCACTCCGCATTACATTGCTCTGTTCTGGATTCTGACTGGTACATCCCCTGTCAGTTACATGCACAATAATGTAACTTCAGYCTTTGTTTCATGTAGGTGCCTAAACCTTGCATGGATAGGAGACAGGAATCACTGTTTGTTCAGTCTCTTGGAATCTTTCAGGGACAGGACAGTGCCAGCTGCCCACAGTTGTACATACATGGAGAAGGCCACCCCCAACCCTGGCCACTGCCCAGACCCTCCTCACCATCTAACTTCTTTCAAAGGCAGCAGCCAGACTTCCAGAAGGATAGTCTAGGTCCCTACTCTCCCTTCTCCATTTCCCAGCAGTAGCTGCAGCTGGATACCTGCAATCCCACCCCATCTCTTCTCTTCAGTCCTCTGGATCAGATATTCCCAAAAGTGGCAGCACTGGCCCTAGTGCGCACACGTAGGCCTCAGCTCCCCATCTGTGGCAGACCCTTCCTGCATGGACCCCCAAGACAGCAACTACTCAGGAGGAATACATGTCACTTTTTATTGGCAAGGCAGGAGAGGTCCTTATAGGCCAGGCACCAACGTGTTTGAAAAATAATTAGAAGGAGTGAACACGGGAAGAGCCATTCGGTTTCAACACTTGTCCACAGAAGCCACTTCTACTGTTCTGCTGGTGCTGGCCCAATAAGGGCTGGGGGATATCAGAGATTTGRGACATTAAAGGAGAGTCGGGTGAGGAAGGGGTGGCCAATGCAGCTCTGCCTGGCGCATACCCTTACTCATTGTGGCAACTGTATTCTGTCACGAAGATTTGGTGCAGCCAGGGCACACTGTAGACCTGGAAGGAGCAGAAGGTCCTCTGCAAAAGGGAAGAGAAAGGACAAACAGTGTGAGTTTCAATTAACAGGGAAAATGTCCAATCTGAGATGCCAGACATGGGGTACAGAATGAAGGAGGTGGGAGTCTCAGGCTTCAACCACCCTTGCCGGGTCCAAATCTCACATTCAACCAAACTCACCAGTATCTACTCATCACCCTCCCCTTGCTCTAAGTCCACCAGAAGGCATGTGAATCTCTCCCCAGTTCATGGGATTCCACATGCTCCTGCCCCCAGCACAGCCCAGTCCACTAAGAAGCAGATTGGGTAAGGCTGTGGAACCCCAGGGGTGCAGGACAGGGAAGCCTGCTCACTGTCCAAGCTCCCGCCACCTCCAGCACCTAGGCCACCACCAACAGGGGCACAGAGGGAAGAAGTGGCGGCATAGGAAACAACACTGAAATAGGCAGAGTTGAGGGAAGGTACTAGGTGAGGGCAGCTCACCCCAGGGCGGTAGAGAGGCTGGCACTGAGAAAGCAGGACAGCACCAGAGGGTTTCATCTGGTTTCAGGCCCCTAATCTGTCCAGCATGGCTCTGGGCAGGTGGCCAAAGTTGGCATTGACCAGAGATTTTTCTCCCTCCCCAGCAACYATCCCTGATGCTACGTCCTCCAGGCCAGCAGGCAGCACACCCRAACACAAAAAGGTGTCCTCCTGGAACCCTAATTAGAAGAGAAAACCCACTGTGTAATTCAAGTTGATCATGTGTACCCATTTGGTCCCTCCTGCAGCACCCCACATGTGCACAGGTCGGCATCTGCATAAACTCACACACACCCCACATTCACATGTACCTATTCATGAACCACCACGCTTCCCCCACTCATCTACACACACAGTCAACACATGAACCCATGCATGTACACACATGCATCTCTTGACACTCTCACACATGAGCAGAAAAATAAGATCACATGCAAGTCTTTATGATCAGCCCTGGCCCCACATCAATGACATACCTGCTGATCTTGTGAATCATCAAAGGGACATTCCAGTAGGTCAGACTGAGTCTTAGTGCAGGTGGTTTGACCCATCTCCAAATCCAAGTAGTATTTCATCCCAGCGACAACCTACAATGAAAAGAGCAGGATTTATTGGCAACACTCCAGGTCACTTTCACATGTACGCTGTTGCTTTATGTCTCTGAGTTAATATGTTGACCTAGTGTGTTAGCTTTTCATCACTGTGACCAAAAGACCTGATATGAACTACTTAGAGAAGAAAAGGTTATCTTGGCTCACGGTTCCAGAGGTTTCAGTCCATGGTCACCTGGCTGTGTCCAGCTGAGGTCTTCTCAACCCCAGGGGGCACTCAATTGCCCACAACTACTCACCATGATGCACTGTCTCAGTGTGGGGGACACTGGCCCCTGGAGTCTACTCCCAGGGAATGCTCAAAGTGTGTGCCATGCACAGGGAATGAAGGCTACTCGGGATATGTTGAGTGATGCTTACTTAGAGGACTCTAGATGGGGTCCATCCTGAGAAAAATCTGAGACACCCAGAATGAGCAGTCTATACACTTATATGTAGTTTAACTGCACGGACATTCTCTGAGAAATGTGTCCTTACAGGATTTCACTGTGCAAATGTCATATTCTACATAACAAACTACTGTGCCTACAATGTCACTAGGTGATACATTCTTAAGGAACTACAGTGTATATGTGGTCATCCTTGTGGGCACATGACTGCACACCACAGCTGAGACAGGACAGTGACTGCAGCATACGGGGGCATTCACCAGTGGACACCAGCAAATTTAAGTCTGTGAATTAGCTAACTAAATATGACAGTGTTAATTCAGGATTTTCAATACTGAGTCATAGATAAGGTAAGAAAATGTCCATATTTGCATGCAAGGTGCACTGAAGTGTTGACTCTAAAAAGGTCCAGAAAAATAAATGCATACAAATACATGCATGTACACATATGTCCTGGAAGAACAAGAACAAAGAGGAAACATGGCGTACTATGAGGACCTAGAGATGCAATAATGCCAAAATAAAAGGGGAAAAAACTCTAAAGCTCTTGTTGAAGGCATCCAAGGGGCATATGTTTTGTCATTCAGTTAACAGTTCACACTAATTCCAGGCCCTCTCCAGGCTGGTGGTAGGGTTGTATAACCAGGGCAGACCCTGACCCTCAACCTGACCTGGAGCCCTGGAGCCCCTTGCCTGTTGGTGGCTGGAAACAGAAATAAAGCTCCTGGCACCCACCTAGAGCTCCAGGCAAGGTGGGTTTCCAGGCCCTGTCTGAGGACAATCCCCAGGGCAAGGACCCAAAGGGCTTTAGGGTGACAGAAAATTACCTAGAACAGGGCTTGGGCGAGCAGCAGTTTGTGTAACTAACCTGGCAAATCAGAACAGCCCCAGGCCATAGCTGCTGAGCACCCTAGAGCTTCTGGCTCTGGAAGCCCAAGTGGGAAGCAACAGCTAAAAGGGAGAGGGTGGGCCTGGGGAAGGGTGACATGCCCTGTGAGGGGCAAGTCCTTCTGACCCAGGCCCAGGGATCAGCACACACCTGCTGGCGGGCACGCAGCACCCTCCGCACACCGCTGTAATACAGGTCGTTGTTCTCCTGGTTGTAAACGCCCACAGAGTAGTCTATAGCCTGTCGAACACCTTCCTCATGGATGTCAGCATCCTCCAGGCCACCCAGTGTTTCCTGAGAGGTACTACTCAGCTTGGAACTCTCACTCGCTGCACAGAAAGCCACCAAGGCTGACAGCAGGAGCAGTGGGAGGTGCAGAGTTGTCACCATGGTTGACTCTGACCTGGAGCTGTACCTGCAACCAAGCAGAGGGGAAGTGATCCATCTTGCAGCCAAGGTGCTTTTATCCCTCTCTGGCTGCCAGGCCCTCCCCAACCCTGGCTCCTCCTTTCCTGGCTACCTCTGCWTCCCACATCTTGGATTCTATTTGTCCAACCTCTACACTTCCGTCCTTCCTCCAGTGAACTTTCTCCTGCTCACCAACACGGATGTTACACCCTTATGTAATACCCTGATCTGACTCATTAACTAAAGGTTCCGGATTATAATAAGTTTTCCTAACAAATCAAAACCACAAACTTTAACCATTGTTCAATATGGATTGGCAGCAATCTATTCAGAGGCCAAAAAGAGAGTAAAAGATACTTGATCTTAAGCTCCTAATCCCTTYATGACTGGACATGTTCATCCTTCAAAGGCTTGCTAACATTTCCTGGCATCTCCTCATCCTCTATTGTCAATGTGTGCTGTTGTTGGTGTGTTCCTTAGCTTGCAGCTTCAAGCTTATGTGTTAAGAATTATGATAAATTACCATCCTCTATCTGTAGTTCAACTAGAAGTTGACCAACCTAAGGAGGAGCTGATTCTATGCACAAAGTACATCAGCACCAGTACTTGAAGCTCAAGCCATCTTCTTGCCTCTACTCAGACTTCACTTCTTTGTTCTGGTTTATTTTTCAATTGAAAGTTTAAGCATGCAAATGAGAAGATGTTTTATACTGACAGCCACAGCTGAATTTCAAAATCCAGCTCTTTCCATATTACTAGATCAAATCATTCAGACACTAAATTGGAATGAAAGAAGAGGATATATATTATAGGAAGTGATGAATGAAAAAGAAACATGAAAGGACAAGAATCCACTGTTTAAAATACTAGACACAGACATCATCTGTCCAACATCACCACTGACAATGACATGTAAAAGGGATTTGGGTCTTCAGGTAACAATGTATTTTTTGGTGTCTCAACTAAAATTCTGCCACCCAAGAACAAAAGAGTGTACACAGTCAGAAAGAATCTGCTTGACTTTAAAATCCAGCTTTTCTTTGGGAGTGGAGCATTATGGCGAGGTGGGGGGTGGGTATTAAATCCAGGTGGGTATTAGCTACATACCCAGATTTTTTTCATATTTGATTTTGAAAGAGGGTCTTACTAAGTTGCTGAGGCTGGCTTTGAACTGCAGATCCTCCAGCCTCAGCTTCCCAAGACACTAGAATTATAGCCGTGGGCCACCAGGACTGGATAAAATTCAGCTCTTTAGGTAAGTTGATAAAAAAAAAGACCTGTTTGAGCCAGAACATCTTTCTCAGCATTTAGGACATTTATTTGTTGAAACTATGCACCCAGCACCAAGCTAAGTCCTTAGCTAGAATTGTTACACTAGGCAATGTACAATTTTACACTGCTGTATGCAGTGACATCCAATAAAGTATGACTAGAGACAGTGTCATACAAAGTCCCAGGCCTAGCTTCCAAAAGGCAGGACTCACCACAGAAGTTTGTTCTTATTTTCCTGTGATGAAGGAGATACAAACAAAACACAAACAAACAAAAAACTACAGTTACTTCTGGATTTACTACAAAATCTCTTGAGTAGATTTCATAGAGCTGATTGTACACACTTTTTCAATATATATATTTTTCTGACTTGATGTCTATACAATCAGTTTCCTCTTTATTGTACTATTAAAACTTGAGACAGGATCCTTTCTAGTCAGTGATTCTCACAGCTCATTAGACCTGGGTAGTCCTTTAACATAAAGACAGTATCCATTGTACTCTCCTGACATGAAGTTAACACATAAATATTCTCCTTTACCTGTGATTTTTGAAAAATATTATGCACTAAGTCTAATATAAGAGACACATTACAGTACAGGCATTATGTTTTGTCTATTTGTAGGTATTGCATTTTGTAAAACTTAAAGACTTCTCGAAACCATGCATTGAATAATAAATTAGCATCAGTTTTTCAAAAGCATGTGCTCCCTTCATTTCTCTGTGTCACATTTTGATAATTCTTGCAAGATTCTGAAACTTTCCCATTATTAATATAGCACATGCTGGATGTAGTGGCACACACCTGTAACAATAGCAACTCTAAGGACTGAAGCAAGAGGTTTGCAAATTTGAGGCCAGCCACAGCAATGTAGTGAGAACCCTAAACAATATAGAGAGACCCTGTATCAAAATAAAAACTGCAAAAGTTTGTGGATGGTGCTCACTGGTTTAAGCCCCCATGGGATCAATCACCAGTACCAAAATTTTTTTTAAATGTATAAAATATAGCTCCCATGGTGACTTGTTATCAGTGATGTTTTTATGTTACTATTGTAATGGTTTGGAAGCACAGTGAAGTCACCCGTATGAGATTGTGAACTTAATCAATAAAGGTTGCCTGTATTCTACAGCTCCAAGATCAACCACTTCCCCATCTCTCGTCCTCTTCTTAGGCCTTGTTATTGCCTGACACTTAAAAATATTGAACTGAGGCCTACTAATAGCCTTATAATAGCCTCTATGTGTTCAAGTGACGGGAAGATTAATTTGGTCCCTACCTTTAAATCAAAAGCCAGAAATTATTGACCTTTGTAAGAAAGGCATGTGGAAGGACAAGATCAGCCAGAAACTGGGACTCCTGTCAAAGAGTTAGATAGGTAGTGAATACAAAAGACAAAATCCTTCAAGGAAATTAAAAGTTCTGCCCAATGAACACACRRATGATAAGAAAGCAAAACACTGTAATTGCTGATATGGAGAAAGTTCTAGTGTCTGGATGAAAGATCAAACCAGCCACCACATTCCCTTCACCAAAGTCTAATCCAGACCAAGACCTTAACTCTCTAYAATGCTATAAAAGCCAAGAGAGGTGAGGAAGCAGTAGAAGAAAAAATGTGAAGCTAGCAGAGATGGATTCATGAGGCTTAAGGAAAGGACCCCTCTAGAACATCCAAGTACAAGATGAAGCAGCAAGTGCCCATGGAGAAGGCACAGCAAGGTACTTAGAAGGTCTGGCGATGACCATTGATGATGGTGGCTACAGTAAAGAGCAGATTTACAATAGAGACTGAACAGCCTTATATTGGAAGGAAATGCCATCTATGATTGAGAGACATCTTTTCATTGCTGTAACAATATATCTGGGGGGAAAAAAMCAATCTAAACAAGGAAAGCTTTATTTTGGTTCATGGTTTCAGAGGTTTTCCTCCATGGTTGGCCAGCTCCTTTGGTTTTAGTCATATAACAAGGCAGAAAAATAAGGGTGGAGAAAAACTGTCCAGGAAAGAGAAAGAAAGAAAGATAGCAGTGTCAAGATGCAGTCCTCAAGTGACCCCAAGGACACACTCACTTCAGCTGGTCCCACCTGTACAGTTTCCACCAACACTCAATGGTCCATTCCCCTGAGAATCCATCAAGGGGTTAATCTATTGATGAGATCACAGAGCTCAAGATCCCATGAGTTCCCAGACTCCTCCCTGTAGACACTGCTGCACTGGGGACCAAGCCTTCATACAGGAGCCTTTGGGGGACATTCTAGAACCAAAACATTAACAAGGACTTCCATAGCTAGAGAGGAGAAATGAATGGCTGATTCGAAGCCTCACAGAACAGGCTGACATGCTTGTTAGGGATTATTCAAAATCAAAAATCCTACAGAAGGGGTGAATTTGTTAAATAGAAATCCCATGGGGACCTGAATGGGTGGAAGAAAGTCTAGAAGAAACTGAATTGCTCTACCCCAGAAAGGGAGCATTCACTGAGCTGAAGGATCCAGAAGGAAGGAACATCATGCACATCCTTGGGTAATCGCAAGGGAAACAAGCATCAGTGAGACCTGTAGGTGCAGTGACTCAGTGGGCAGGAGGACAAGCAACAGCAGCCTTTGGGAGTGAAGCCAAGGGCATCTCAAGGACAGATGTGCCCAGAGCTGTTTGAAGATGCTGGGATCACTGCCTCAAAGAAACCTGCTGAGCTAAAGGCCATTAACCCAACTGTCCTCTGATTGAAGGACTCTTCCATTTACTTTTGCTTTTTCATCTGTTATTTGCTAGATATGGAGGAGGGGTTACATTGTATGTCAACAAAAGTATGTCCAGAGGAAAGTGAGGCCATGAGTATACCTCACCTGCTGCAATGTCCAGACATGTTAGGAGAGATTGGACTTTTACAGGGAAACTAATTGGGTTATACATCAGCAGTTCTTTGAAGAACCAGTTGTGAACATGCCGAAGTCTGGCTGGGCACAATTCAGGAGCCACTTGTCAAAAGAAATGAACTTTATTTTTAGAACACACACACCACACCACACAGCTCCTCAGGAAAAACCTTCAGAGCCCAACTACCACCACCAGCTTCCCACAAGCCTCTCCCCCTCCCCCACTCCTCCTGCTCTTGAGGCTGATTGGCTGGGTCACGTGGACAGAGCCAAAAAAAGTCCCCCGATGAGCATCTCCGTGGTCTGAAAGGGTGGGGAAACAGCCCAATGAGCATCATGCAGAGGAGCCAATCAGTTGGCAGTTAGAAGTTGCTGGGGCCGCTGTGAGCCAATCATCAGCTTGCAGCTGGAAGTTTGCTGGCAGCTGGAAGTTTGCTGGGGCCCCTTTCGGCTGTGGCTCTCAACATGAACTATTTTAAAATTCATTGCCCAGGCCTCTTCCAGACCAATGAAATGGATTCCTCCAGTGTAAACAGGTGATTGCAATGAGAGCCACACTCCTCAGGTGACTGCACCATGCAGCCAACCAGAGACCAGATAATCCTTACCTGGTTTCAAGGAAGCAGGAGAGCTTCTGTCCTCAGGATGACCCCTGAGTATTGCTGGCTTGGCCTTGTGATCCTGTGACTTGATTCTGAAGTGACCCACTTGGTATCCCAAGAGAAGAGTAAAGGAGCAGATATAAGTGACCAAAAGAAAATTGCTCCTTAGTTAAGCTACCATTTTGTTCATTGCTTCTCCATTTTAAATGTGTCTGACCAATAAATTCAGTAGGGTATAGTGAGAAAGAACGAGTGGTCACATGTTTGTCTACTGATGCCTCATCTGTCCAGCATTGCCAGGTAGGGTGGACTTTTCGGTCTCTGCATTTTTTATTGAAGCCCTGGCTTCATCCAAGGCCACTCGTGCCAACAGTGATGAGCCAGCTCCTGCATGTGAACCACCCAAGCCTCTTAGAGCCTGTGAATGACGGCCCCCAAAGCAGGTGCAAGAGAATCAGAGAACATGGATGGGAACAGGGAACATCGTCAGTGACGGCTGGTTACTGGTACGAGAGAGATTGTCACATCAAAAAATCAAATATCCAGGGAAAAATTTATGGAAAACATAAAAGATACAGAAAAGTCTGTTTTACTCCACTGAAGGACATAGTTAAAATATGCCTAAGTGAAAAACTAGAATATTAAATGTTGTCCAAATTATTCCCAAATGGAATTATAAACATTAAAATGTATTCCTAGTTCAAAACTCAACAGTTGTACTTTTTTAATTGATCTTATTTTTTTAAAAAATCAGAATGTATTACAATTCTTATTTTACATATAGAGCACAATTTTTCATATCTTTGTATGTAAAGTATATTCATGCCCATTTATGTCTTTATACATGTACTTTTTTTGCATTACAATTCTTATTACATATATATATCACAATTTTTCATATCTCTGTATACAAAGTAGGTTGACACTCAATTCGTGTCTTTATACATGTACTTTGGATAATGGTCTCCATCACATTCCACCATTCTTGCTAACCCCCTAACCCCTCCCTTTCCCTCCCACCCCTCTTCCTTATCTAGAATTCATTTATTCCTCCCATGGTCACCCTCCCTAACCCACTATGACTCAGCCTCCTTATATCAGAGAAAATCTTTGGCATTTGTTTTTTGGGGATTGGCTCACTCCACTTAGCAATATCTTCTCCAATGCCATCATTTACCTGCAAATGCCTTGATTTTATTCTCTTTTATTGCTGAGTAAAATTCCATTGTGTATATATGCCACATTTTTTTATCCATTCATCCACTGAAGGGCATCTAGGTTGGCCCCACAGTTTAGCTATTGTGAATTGTGCTGCTATAAACATTGATGTGGCTGTATTCCTGTAGTATGCTGTTTTAAGTCCTTTGGGTATAGTCCAAGAAGGGGGATAGCTGGGTCAAATGGTGGTTCCATTCCCAAATTTCCAAGGAATTGCCGCCAAACTGCTTTCCATATTGGCTGCACCAATCTGCAATCCAACCAGCAATGTATGTGTACACCTTTTTCCCCACATCCTCCTCAACACTTATCTTCATAATAGCTGCCATTCTGAATGGAGTGAGATGATATCTTAGAGTAGTTTTGCTCTGCCTTTCTCTGATTGCTAGAGATGAGAATTTTTTCATGTATTTGTTGATTGTATATCCTCTTCTGAGAAGTTTCTGTTCAGGTCCTTGGCCCATTTGTTGATTGGGTTATTTGGGTTTTTTTGGTGCTTAACTGTTTGAGTTCTAGATATACCCTAGAGATTAGTACTCTGATTGTGTGAGGGTTAAAAATTTGCTCCCAGGATGTAGACTGTCTGATTACCTTCCAGATTGTTTCTTTTGCTGAGAAGAAACTATGTAGTTTGATCAACAGTTGTACTTTTTGAACCAGAAAAAAAATATTTTCATCTGGAAAAATATATTCAGAAAATATAATTTAGGAGAAGAAAAGTGAATTAAATTAAAATCTCTTCTCTAAAATGGTGTGGTTGGAAAAATGAAAGAATGAAAGAAAGGAAGCAATGAAGAAAGAGTATAAAAGGAAGGGGAAAAAGCAGACCCAGATACATGGCTAAGAGCATTTTTGTTTTGCTGGGGGTGGGTGTGTACCAGGGATTGAACCCAGGGGCACTTTAAACACTGAGCCACATCCCCAATCCTTTTTTATATACAGGGTTTTTCTGAGTTGCTAAATACCTAGCTTAGTTGCTGAGGCTGGCTTTGAACTCTTTGATCCTACTACCTTACCCTCTTCAAGTTTTTGGGATTACAGGCATGCACCACTGCACCTGGCAAGAACATCTTTTGAAAAAAGAAATAGACTCATATGACAGCATATAAAAGTGAACATATGAACATTTTGACTGGATTAATACGCAGTCACTGTTTTCATGGAATAAACATTAACACATCACCACATGCATACACTGAGGGTTTACAGAAAATAAGGAAGGTACTATCACTGCACTCTCTCTACAGATGAGATATGGAAGCTTCAGGGGTTGGCCTGAGTCACAGATCTGATGAAATTTACTCTACCCCCCTTCACTTCCCCCAAAGAGAGAATCAGGTCAAACCCAGATCTTTCATGCAGGTAGAAAAACTCGTGACCACCTCATGACAGGGGTCCTACCATAGACTTTCTCTGTCCTGCACCTGCTGTTTTGCCCATGGTCAATGCTCTCCATGGAGATTTGGATTCCAAAATTCACAATGCCTGCCTGGTATTGCCCAGACTCAGATTCATGACCTTCTGGGGATGCTTTTCTTTCTTCATCCAAGAACTTTTGTTAAATGAAGTTAAGGGTGAGAAGACTGCATCTGGAGGGCTGTATAGGAAATGAAACACCATGGAAGGAGGCACTCTGCCTTGCTGCCTGGGCTCCACCTGTCCACTCCACAACTCCAGGGTATAAGCCTCCACTGTCTGGTTGGATCTCTCATTTCACCTTCAGTGGTTATAGCAGTGGCTGAAAGACAGCTTTCTGATGCAGTTCCATCTCATGGAAGGCATTTGAAAGTCGTATGCCAGTGGCTGGGACGGAGAAAGCTTCTCCCAGTTCATAAAGTGGTGAAGCACATATATTTTAGGACTTCAGACTCCCTGTTTTGGGCACTGAAATATCCATCCATGTACTATACAACAGTAATGATACTAAGGTAATATTACTGAAAACATCCTCTTGCAAATAGAAGAAAGTCCACTACATGTCAATTCATCTATGTTTTAAAAGCTATGTCCCTTAAGAAAATTGCATACAAGAACTGTTTTACAATCAAGGGCAGAGAAAGGGCAGGGAGTATCATCTGTGAACCCCACTGGGCACCCATCCTAAGTGCACTGGAGTAAGCAGTGCCTCCACTCTGTATTATGTGTTCTGTTTTGGATTCTGGCTGGTATGTCCACAATTAAGTGCACACCAATATACTTTCGTTCTTTGTTTCATATAGGTGCCCAAATCTTGCATGGATAGGAGGAGACAGGAATCACTACTTATTTAGCCTCTTGAGAATCTGACAGGGACAGGATAATCCCAGCCACCCATCACTTGTGCACACATGGAGGGAGTGTGCCACAGCCCTGGGCAGTGCCCAGACTCTCCTCACCATCTAAGTAGCAGCCACGCTTCCAGGATGAGAGCCTAGGTTCCTATTCTCTCTTGTCCATTTCCCAGAAGTATTTGCAGCTGGATACCTGCAATCCCACCCTCTTCAGTCCTCTGAGACCAGATCCCAGATATCCCAGTGGCAGCACTGGCCCCAGTGCACACACACAGGCCTCAGCTCCCCATCTGTGGCAGAACCTTCCTGTGTGGACCCCCAAGAAATTAACTACTCAGGAGAAATGTATGTCACTATTTTATTGAGAAAGGCAGGAGAGGTCCTTATAGGCCAGGCACCAATGTGTTTGAAAAATAATGAGAAGGAACAAACAAGGGAAGAGTGACGTAAGCCATCTCCACTGGTCTGCTGGTGCTGCCACAATAAGGGCTAGGGGATACCTGAGGGTCTGGGGCATTACAGGGGAGTGGAGTGAGGAAGGGGTGGCCAATGCAGTTCTGCCTGGCACATACCCTTAGTCATTATGACAACTGTATTGTGTCATGGAGATTGTGTGCAGCCAGGGCACAATGTAGACCTGGAAAGAGCAGTAAGTCCTCTGTAAAAAGAAGAGAAAGGGACAATCAGTGTGTGATTCAGATAACAGGGAAGATGTTCCATCTGAGATGTCAGAATTGGGGTACAGAATGATGGACGTGGGATTCTCAGCCCCTATTATCCTTTGCCAGGTTCAATTTTGATAATCAACCAAACTCTCAATATCTACTCATCGCCCTGCCCATTGCTCTGAGTCCACAAGACAGCATGTGACTCTCTCCCTGGATTATGTGTAAGGCTGTGGGAGCCCCAGGGGTGCAGGGCACGGAAGGCTGTCACTGTCCAAGTTCCCTCCACCTCCAGCACCTGGGCCAGCACCAACAGGGGCACAGAGGGAAGAAGTGGGCACAGTAAACAGCCTTGAAATAGGCATCAGGGTTGGGGGAAGGTAGACAAGATGAGGGCAGATATCCCCAGGGCCATAGAAGGCTGGCACTGAGAAAGCAGGGACAGCACCAGAGGGTTTCATCTGTTTACAGGCCCCTAATCTGTCCATCATGGCTCTGGGCAGGTGGCCAAAGGTGGGACTAACAGAGCTTTTTCTCTGTCCTCAGCAACCATCCCTGTAGCTATGCCCTCCAGGCCAGCAGGCAGCACACTCAAACACAAAAGGGTGTCCTCCTGGGACCCTAATTAGAAGGGAAAACCCACTGTGTAATTCAAGTTGATCATGTGTACACACATAGCCCCTCCTGCAGCACCCCACATGTGTACAGGTCTGCATCTGCATTAACTCATACACACCCCACTTCACATGTATCTATTCATGTGCCACCACGCTCCCCCCACTCATCTACACACACACAACACTTGCATCCATCCACATACACACATGCATTTCTTGACACTTTCACACATGAGCATACAAACAAGCTCACATGCCCCTCTTCGATAACCAGCCCTGGGCCCACGTCAATGACATACCTTGTGCTCATGTATGTGCTCAACGAAGGGACATTCGGCCAGGTCAGACTGAGATTTAGTACAGGTGGTTCGACCTATCTCCAAATCCAAGTAGTAGTTTGTCCCAGTGACAACCTACAACGAAAAGAACGGGATTCATTTACAACACTCCAGGTTACTTTCACATGTATGCTGTTACTTAATGTCACTGAGTTAATACCTTGACCTAGTGTGTTAGTCAGCTTTTCATCACGGTGACCAAAATACCTGATATGAACTACTTAGAAAAGAAAGGGTTATCTTGGCTCACGGTTCCAGAGGTTTCAGTCCATGGTTGCCTGGCTGCGTCCAGGTGAGGTCTTCTCAATCCCAGGAGGCACTCAGTTGCCCACGACTATTCACTATGGTGCACTGTCTCAGAGTGAGGGACACTAGCCCCTTGAGGCTACTCCCAGGGAATGCTCCCAGGGCATGTCATGCACAGGGAATGAAGGCTACTCAGGACATGTTGAGTGGTGCCTACTCAGAGGACTCTGAATGGGGTCCATCCTGAGGAAAAATCTGAGACACCCAGTATAAGCATATCGACATGCTCTGAGAAATGTGTCCTTAGAGGATTTCACTGGGTAAATGTCATATTATACATATCAAACTAAGATGGCTACAATGTCACTAGATGATACAATCTTAAGGAACTGCAATGTATATGTAGTCATCCTTGTGGGCACATGACTGCACACCACAGTTGGTGGGACCCTTTGAAATGTCAAGGTCATGATAACTGACCAGGAGCTGCTCCAGATGAAAGGAGGCTGAGGAGGCAGGGCAGTGACTGCAGCATACAGGGGCATCCATCAGTGCACATCAGCAAATTTAAGTCTGTGGATTAAGTAACTAAATATGACAGTGTTAATTCCGATTTTCAAAACTGAATCTTAGAAAAGAGAATGTCCAATTTTGCAAGCAAGCTGAAATGTTGCTTCTAAAAAGGTCCAGAAAAATAAATGCATATAAGTACATGCATGTACACGTGTCCTGGGAGAACAAGGACAAAGAGGAAACATGGCCTACTATTAGGATCTAGATTTGCAATAATGTCAAAATTAAAGGTGAAAAAAAGCTTTTCAAAGATCTTTTAGTGAAGGCATGCAGGGGGGCATCTATTTTTTTGTCTCCAATCATTTAATTAACAGTTCATACTAATTCCAGGCCCTCTCAGGCTGGCAGTAGGGATCTATAACCAGGGCAGACCCTGACCTTGATCCTGACCTGTAGCCCTGATGCCCCTTGCCTGCTGGTGGCTGGAAACAGAAATAAAGCGCCAGGAGCCCACCTGGAGTGCTAGGCAGGGTGGGTTTCCAGGCTAACCCTGAGCGAGGACAATCCCCAGGACAGGCCCGCAAAGAGCTATAGGGCGGTAGAAAATTACCTAGGACAGGTCTTGGGTGAGCAGCAGTGTGTGTAAATTCCCTCGCAGATCAGAACACCCCTCGAGCCCATAGGCTGCTGAGCTCTCTATATAGCAACAGGCAATGTACCCAAGTGGGAAGCAGCAGCTAGAGGAGCGAGGGAGGGGCTGGGGATGAGTTTGATGCCCAGTGAGGGGCAACTCCTATGATTCAGGCCTGGGGCTCGAGCACGCACCTGCTTGCGGGCACGCACCACCCTGCGAACACGGCTATAGTAGGGATCATTGTTCTCCTGGTTGTAAACGCTGATGGCGTAGTCAATGGCCTGATGCACGCCCTCCTCGTGCATGTCTGCCTCCTCCAGACCGCCAAGCATTAGTTGAGAGCTCCTGAGTTCGGGTCTTGCGGGTCTTGCGACATAGCCAGCCACCATGGCTGCCAGAATGAGCAATGGAAAGTGCAGGGGTATCGCCATGGTTGGCTGGGACATGGAGCTGTACCTGCAACCGAGAGGAGAGTGATCCAGAGACCCTAAGTACTAGTGGGCTGCTACGGCACTTTTATGCCTCTCTGGCCCACTGTTCCTCCCCAATCCAGGCTCCTCCTTTTCCTGGCTGCTCCCTCTCCCCACCTTTATTTTTTTTTTTTTAATACAACACAAATTTATTATCTCACAATTCTGGAGGCCAGGAGTCCTAAAATCAAGGTATTAGCACAGCTATATGACTTTTATTTTATTTTTTTTTATTGATTGCTCTTGATAAATCATCTTTCATACATTTGACTCTATTGGGTTTTGAACTCCCATTTCTACCCCAAATACAGATAGCAGAATCACATCTGTTACATAYTCACATTTTTACATAATGGCATATTAGTGACTGTCTTAATCTGCTACCTTTCCTAACCCCTACTATCCCCCCTC